AAAATCAAAGTTGCAGGAAAGACTCGTATTTGAACCGTTTATTATTTTCCGCCTACTCTACGGCCGCGCCAGTTTTTATGCTGAACGAGAGAGGTGTGATGGGGCTAACGTAACGCCACACAAGTAGCATCCCATACCAAAGCTTGTCCCATAAGCCCATCCCAAGAGACCACAGCGTCGCCTTTTCGCCGAGCAACGCGTTGTGAAAACCTAGTCACGTAGTCGCCTCGATGTGAGTATGACCCTTGCTGTGCCAAGGTCCATTCCATATCATTCATGGCCATAGGGGGCCGTGTTTTCGACGGCTGATCGCGTGGCGGGATGCGGACAAGGCTACGCTGATACCGTGTCCTGGCTCGGGCGAATTCTGGCGCCGCGTTCGGTGGGCACGTACTATAGTAAGTCCCACATAACCCTTCACCACAAGACGTGCCGCGGGAGAGTAACGCATTTCTCCACTAGTAATTGAAATTCAACACATCATACATAATGCTATATCTACAGTATATGTTACAAGGTATATTTTCTAAAAGACGGAAACAGATTTAATATGTTGTTAAGAACATAACAATCAAATATACAGTATTAACAATATTCCTAACCTACATATTAATAATAATAATTAAAAATTAATAAAAATGAAAATTAAAACAAATTTAAAAAGTTTGGTCCCTGTGGCAGTGTACTTTTAACGCTGGCATTTCCTTGCTGTATTGTGATACATATTCGTTGAGCGAGGAAAGCTCCATTTTTTTGTAAAATGTAAACAAAAATGTTTCAAAATACAATAAAAATTACCAGAAAAACGGCAGATTATGTATGAGATAGGTACTTAATGCTTTCATTAGAATTGATTAGCCTACTACCGAATATATCCAGCTCCGGGTAAGTATTGTTTAATCTAAATATATAAAACAAACTCGTGTTAGTTACACCACTTATAACTCAAGATCGGATCAATAAATAAATTAATGAATTTTACGAATGCAAACACCATGTGGTGCCATCTGTTGACAAAATTACGTACAAATTCCGATCTTGAAGTGAATGAGGAGATGCATAACCAGGCTTTGATCTTGATCGAAGACCTGTGTCACCTCATAAAAAAATGTTGTATATCAGAAAGTTCAAGTATGACGTCACGCAATTTTTGGAGATTATTGACCCCCCCCATGTATCGCGCCGTAACGTTTTTCTGTACCGAAGTACAGTACTGTACCCAAGTATAGTACAACGTTTCGTGACCACCCAGTGACTCTTTATATATAAAAGTTACCATTATGTTGTGTTATGTACTGGAAAGTCAAAAATAATATTAACAATAACGCGTAAATCAATCCCCGCCCCGTATCGTAACGTTTTACAAAAGGAACCCCCCCAAAATTCGTTACGTAATACTTGAACGCTCCCTCGCAATATTAGCGCTAGAGAGAAGAGGCCTAATGTGTAAAACTGTCAATCTTCTTTCGCAATGGCAAGCAATAAAACATATCTGTATTTGCAAAAAAAATTGTATTAATGTTATTACCTTCATGAAATGAAGTTATATGTATGACTTTTGTAGCCGGGTCAGCTACTACTTTATATTCGCGAAGAATTAAATGACTCCTAGGTTGGAAAATTTAACAAACTATATGATAAGAAACATGTAATATATATTCTCATTCAACATAATTAAGATTAAATTTAGATTTACAAATCCCGAGTTGAATGTAGTTTTAATTAACAAAACAATACATTTCATTAACATGCTGACTCATCTGCGAATCGCAATTTCTCATTACATAGTCGTTTCCGACGAAAATTATCTCGTATATGTACATAGTATGTTCATTAGATTTAGATATACAGCCTTAAATTGTTAAGGTTGATTTGTGACGCTATTTGAATATTAAAAATTAATGAGAATATAGAAAAATATTATGGTGGTTCAATCTAATCTTGGAATATTCTCCTACAATGGTGTGCAAATTTATCTTAGATGATTAATAGGTAGAATTTTACATAGCACGGCCTAGTCGCTTTAGTGCGACTCTCATCCCTGAGGTCGTAGGTTCGATCCTCAGCTGTGCACCAATAGACTTTCTTTCTATGTGCGCATTTAACATTCGCTCGAACGGTGAAGGGAAACAGCGTAAGGAAACCGGCTTGCATTATACCTTAAAAGTTGACAGCGTGTGTCTGGCACAGGAGGCTGATCACCTACTTGCCTATTAGATTGACAAAAGATCATGAAATAGATACAGATTTGAGGCCCAGACCTAAAAAGGTACAACCTTTTTAGGTCTGATTTGCTTTTATTTAATAAGGTTGCTGCTCGACTATAATATCTTATAAACTACGTAACATACAGAAATCTGAGGCCTAGAGCTAAAAAGAATTTAGCGCCACTTGCCTAACTATTAGATTGACAAATGGTCATGAAACAGAAATCTGAGGCCAAGACATAAAAAGCCGCTGCTTTTATTTAAGTAGTGTTATTGGACTCTTTCCGGCGTTAAATATAACTTTTAGTAAATAAGATTAGTTTTAAATTAACCCTATAAGGGGAAAACTCTTGTGTACGTACGTTTATACGTTTCTGTGGTACGAGAAATAAAAAACAATATATTTCTTAAACATTTATTTAAAAATCCATACTACATTCATCCCAAAACCAAGTGCATTTAATATTAATATAAAAGTGTAACTTTATATTCACAAAAATTCGTTGAAAATACATAAATGCCAAGGGAATTGATAATTGTGACACCGATAAGTGGTTTTTATATATTTATTTGTTTGTATGTCCGTCACACATTCATTTAGAAACAATTGAAACTAAACATAATTATCCTACATTTTTCTAATTTGAATTATATTGGACCAAATTTGTTCGTATATTAATCCTTAAAAAATATTTAATCTTACAATAAATCGTTCTGGGTTACACGTGATTAGTAAAGTGTCAGCTGTCAGCTGTCATCCTTCAAAGGGAACGTTCAAGTATTACGTAACGAGTTTTGGGGGGGGGTCCCTTTTGTAAAACGTTACGATGCGGGGCGGGGATTGAAATTACGCGTTATTGTTAATTTTATTTTCCACTTACACCACATAATAGTAACTAAAGAGTCACTAGGTGGTCACAAAATGTTTTACTATACTCGAGTACAGTACTGTACTTGGGTACTGAAAAACGTTACGGCGAGTTACATGGGGGGGGTCAATAATCTCCAAAAATTGCGTTACGTAATACTTGAACGCTCCCAAACGGTGGCATTTGACAACAACTTCAATACTTCAGCTGTTATTCAATGAGATCACAACTCATTGAATAACAGCTTGGAACTTGAACTAGCTATTTGTGATATCATTTAAAAAAGTAGAATTAAAATATATACGAATTCATTAATAAAAAAATCAGTTTAAATTTACTTTGCACTGTCATAAAGATGTTGTCAATCTGACAGGAATGACGTTGACAGGTCAGACAGCGTGTGACACCAATCAACCGTGTTCTCCCACACGATACATTCAAAACCGTATAAACATACAAACATACATTTCTAATGTACTTGAATACAACAAAAACCCTTAAATTACCCATATTAAGAAATATTTTGGCGGAAAATTGTTATGATTGAAATTGATAAGGCATTTTAGCACACAAGGTCAACGCAAAAAGCAACAGAACCTAAAAACCCGTATTAGTGCTTGAAAATGTTAGATTCTCTTATGTGTGCTAGCTTAGTGGACACTCAGAGTCTGCTCAAATAATAACTATATTATATATTTTATATTATATTTGTCTTAGTCCCAAGAAAATAATATAAAATGCACCAAGTATTTTCTAGTAATTGTGACGTATCATTGATTATTGACAAATGACAGTTTCATAGCGTCAAAGTGAAGTTTCGAAATTGACAATAATAGCAGACTCGAGCACAGATTATTATAGTAGAACAGGTATAAACAAAAATAAATATACTGTTGAATGATGTAGTCTTCGTTTACCTGAAAATAAAAATAAACTTTACTATATCTTAAACGTTCTATAAAGGGCCTCATAGCATAGCGGTTTTATTAAGTGGCAGCTAGGTGAGGGGTACCGGGTTCGATTCCCGGTTCGAGGGCAAGTTTTAATTTAATTTAAATTTGTTCTCGGCCTTTGTGAGGGTTGTGCGGTACCGGGCGAGTGCTTAAACCGTACATGGAGGACACGGTCGAATTTCTAAAAGACAAGCACGAATTATAAAAAATCCTATACTTGACGCTGGCTAATGCACAAACCGTGCCAGAGCCATAAAGGAAAAAAAACGTTCTATAAGGCGTAATAAACCTTTTCTTTCATAACTATTTTGATAGATTTTATAAAAAATATAGTGAAAAGAATTAACGAAGCATTGTCGTCCGAAAAATTCTTGAAATTCTTGAAAATAGCAACTATCCAATATCAACATAAGCGTCGACAAAATAATCGGACGTCAAGGCAGAATACCAATTTCTACCAGTAGTACCTCGACATCCGTCGTTTTAATGAGCGTTATTTAAGGTAGACTTGGATTTGGGTATGAAACCAGCTGCCCACTAAAGTATTTCCGAACCAATTCGACTTAGGGTCCTTCAAGAAAAGAGCGTACCTATTCTAAAAAGGCCGGCTACACACTTGCAAGCCTTCTGGTAATGTAACTGTCCATGGGTGGCGTCGGTATCACTTAACATTCCTACTGTCAGTTAAATATAAAAAAAAACGCTGAGCTGTCTAAATAGTGTCAAACTTTATTCATGCTTAAAATATAATTAACCAGCTTCCTTCCGCCCATAGCTTGTGGACTTTATTTATGCATGCGACCATTTCAATAATATTTATAAATTACTGTCAATTTACCTACCGTCATTCCTTAACATGAATTGTACTAATAGTTTCAGTAGTTCATGAGATTATCGCGTTCATACAGACAGATTTGGGTGAGTGTTCTTCTAGAAAATCAATCTAAAATCGAAAAATAAGTTACTGTACCTCACTCCTGAACTTCCACCCTCGGCGCCATCATACACACAACTCTGATAGCGGAGTGCAATCCAGACTTCAGTGGAGAGGGTAGACTTTCCTTGTTAGCCACCCTCTCGGCAACTGAACGTAACTCTCTGAATGTGTTACGGGTGTATGGGTTACGGCGGGAGGCGTATCGCCATAACACGAAGTAATAGTACATGAATGGTGTTAGCAGACCGCTGTAACCGCTGTAGAAGAAAGAAGAAACGCTGCTTAAAGGATTTTAACAAGAAAACGTGTTTCTTAAATACGAAAAAAAGTGCGTGCGTACAAAGTACACATGTCAGAAGTGAAACTTCTTTGTAAATTAATTATTACTAAGGTAAAAGCCCCAGTAGATGATCATGTACCAGTATATGATCACTCCATATATTTGTATATTTATATTCACACTGTTTACACACTGTATGCGTGCTAATAATAATATAAATAAATAAAAAATCTGCGTTTACTGCACAAGACGTTATGCGACAGAATTGTCATCTAAAGTTCTAAAATATGTAACTATTCAACGAATACATCAACCAATAGCGTGTATTTTTTCTCAATCTCCCTTACTCTCTCTCTCAATCTTTCTCACTATAGCTCTCTCCCACCTCTCGCTCCATGGCTATTTTCTTCTTCTTTCTCTTCGACAAAAACGCTGCACATTTTCGTGACGCTAATATTATAATTATTGCTCTTATATATTTAGATATCTAGTGCTCCTGACATTAATTACATATAAATTAAATCACACCTTTCGCTGTCTACTAGCAAGTTGTACAAGATTATTTATAAGTATGAAATTTGAAGATTCAAATCAAACGTTATTCAAGAACCCGCCAAAATACTAGACAAGATGGCGTCGCACCAGTCATAGACGTCATATGAAAACGTCAAGTTTTTAGTGCGTTGTTATTCTGACAATTACTTCACCGTCGATTTGACTAATCTGTGGCTGTTTCGTGTCATGTAAGTCAATGGGCGTGTTCGGCCGAAGTAAGTACTTACTAAACTTAGTAAGCCAGTAAGCATAAAAAAATTAAAGTCTTACAAGCTGACTGTAGCGCTTTTCGGCCAGGACAGACTTACTGGCTTATTAACATAACACAAAACACCGGTTTATGTCATATCCCGTACATAACCTCATAGACTGAATATAATTGACAGTACTAAATTTAGGAATATAATTTAATACCTGTGAATAGTTTCAAATGGATAATTTTATGAGAAATATTTTATTGGATATTTTATTGTCCGTTTTGTTTACATCAACAATAAACAAAATGGCGTCGTATATTAAGCCATACTTACTGCGTTAGCACTTATTTTGTGTCCCGGCCGAAAATTTTGTAAGCATAGTAAGTGACTTACTAAATTTAGTAAGTACTTACTTCGGCCGAACACGCCCAATAATTTTGATTATGAATTTCTTGCTAATGTTATTGTACTTTATAACGCTTTTCAAAGCCTTGCTTTTTTTTCTTCATACTATCAGATAGCCCATTATAAGTAACATAGTACGAAAGCTATTGTAATCGGAGTTGGATTGGAAATTACAGACTACAGACTAACGACGCAGGTAAAACTATCCATTGACGCTATGTTTACATATACAGATCCTTTGTGCGTGTGTTTGTTTAAAATTCTCCTACTTCTGAACCGATTTTGATGAATTTTTCGGGTATCGGATTCAATTTTAATTTTATTTAGATTCACATTCAGCGCCGTCACTCTGCAACATCTAAAGCGATCAGCAATCTTAAGATTACGTTGTACGAACGCTATAGTAATCGGAGTTGGATTGGATGGATTTACAGAGTACCGACGCAGATTCTGTGTGTTTTTTATTAAACGACTGGACCGATTTTGATGATTTCTTTTTGTATTTAATGGTACGTTTACACGCTTGCCAAACCTTGGCAAGGATCGACAATCGCAAGCATGTAAAAAGGGCGTTTGGCTTGGCTTACGTGGGCTTATGCCTGCTTGATTCCGATCCAGTCGAGTGTCGGTTTTTTTACGCAGATCAAAGGCGTTTGCGGCAAGCGCTTGCGATGCATTTACATGTTGGTCCGCGTTTAGTAGCCATTGTGATCTCGCGGCGAGTACACGCTTGCTTGATTTTACAAAAAATAAATAAAAAATGAGTTGCTGGTCGAATGAGGAGTCTTTCGTTTCTGGAACATTACCAAATGGAACCATGCATCTGGAATCCGAAAGATTCAAATCATAAAGATAAGAAGAAACAAACAGATACATGGATTCGTCTTGCTGAACTTACTGGAAGGCCAGTAAAGGAAATAAAAAATAAAAAAGAGATATTGGTGACTACTTTTCGCAAGCATTTGAAAAAAAAAACGTCACAAGTTCCGTGTCCGCCATGCTTGGATGTATATTGCAGACTGACGCATTCACAAGCGTATAAACGCCTTTCAAACGCCAAACGAGATTTGTGGAGGCTTGGGACTGTTTGCAGTTTGCCAAGGCTTGGCAAGCGTGTAAACGTACCATAAGACGTGTGCAGTATTGTATAAAAATGTTTACTTACAAAAGTGCCATGATGGCCACCAGTGGGAATAGAGAGATTTCAGCCAAAGCAGCCGCGCGTAAAATATTCCGCGATTGTAATTCCACTAAAGAAATGAGCAGGCGAGCCACCCACATGGAATTTTGGCCCAAAGTCTGAAATTAAAATATCACCTTTATCAAATTAAAAAAAAATATCTTCAGTTTTTTTAAGTTTTTTATAACCAAATGATTTGACATTGCATTTTTTTGACATTTAAAATTACACGGTAAGCTTGATATATAATAAATATAATAAAAGAAAAATGGTCTTCGTTTGAGGCTCCTTCACGCCTAAACCACTAGTTTATGGCTATTTATTTATTAAATTCCAACGTTCCTTCATTTTTTATTGCTGTTTTACTTTTATGAAAATTTATCCATACGGACTTCACCGCGGAAACATTCGGGGAGGCTTCCTAGAACCTCTAAACGTCAACATCTGTTAAAAACTCGATTTTCGAAATATTTCAATTTTCTTAGCGGGAAGTTAAAAAGAAGAATAATAAAAATATGAAAAAAATAAAATAATGAAACATAAAATTTATTTTAATTCGTCCAGCAAAGCGGGCGCGAAACGGCTAGTAATAAATATAACAAAAACATTGTGGCGCTACAGTCTTTTTAGCTCTAGACCTCAGATTTCTGTATAATTTTATCATTTGTCTATCTATCGAACGATGTTCTCCCTCGGCGTTCTAATGTTAAATGCGCACATAGAAATTCCATTGGTGCATAGCCGGGGATCGAACCTACGACCTCAGGGATGAGAGTCGCACGCTGAAGCCACTAGGCCAGCATTTCTCCACAATAAATATACTTACATCCAATATTGTGAGTGAATACGAGGCGGCGTGCAGCATCGCGAACAAGAAAATTGGCGTCAAAATTACTGTATAATATTAAGAAAATTTTATTTAAGTATAGAAATAAAAATAAATTTATTAATTTCTTTTTTTATAATAGGCGGGCAAACGAGCCTACGGGACGCCCAAAAAGCCCAGCCCCAGACACCCATTTTTAGTGGGTGAGTTCCCGGCCTTGGGGCCGTTCAGGTATTACGTAAACAATACAGGGGGGAAAAACCAACTAAATAAGAAAATCAGGGGGTGTTAATTCGTTTATGTACCTACTATTATATTTGAGGTCTTTGCTTACTTTTGCTGACAAGAGGGGGGGGGCACTCGCGAGCCCTCTGGCATTGAGAGTGTCCATGGGCGGCGGTATCACTTAACATCAGGTGAGCCTCCTGCCCGTTTGCCCCCTGTTCTATAAAAAAAATATCTGCTTACGTAATACTTGAACCCTTTTGAATAGTTATAATTATGTCAACATTTAACCAAATTTCAATTAACATTATGTGTACATAGTGTTATCTATGTCATAGAGGAACGCGGGGAAACCGGCTCAAGGCCCGAAGACCTCAGTGGAACAGCGATGACGTCATGCCCATGCTATCAAAGTATTTCCCGCTAAGGCTAACAGTTTCTCTACCTCATAAATGTCATTAGAAATCTGGTCGAGGAATCTCACTTTTAGCTGGAGGAAGAGTCACCTACACAATGGCTTAAATATCTAGTCTGGCTAACGAAAGTAGATACTGGATTTTTTTGCAAACTTTTTATATGACAACACTAAAGTTAGTACGGTCAAAATGTCTTGATATTTTTTTATTTTAAATAAGTACATATTAGATTTAGTTTCTTTAGATAATGTTATTGTTCTTTTACAGATAGTCTTGAGATTATAAACCAACGGTTATGGTTAGAAAAACAAAAATGAACGTTCATTATTAATTGAACGATATGATATAGGCATGGAGACATCGCTTTTTGCGTACCATTGCATCGAAACGTGCAGAAGGCAAGCGAATAATCTACTTAGATGAAACTTATGTCCACAAAACCTATAAGCCTAAAAATTGACGACTCATTGGTCTAGTGGTTAGTACCCCTGACTGCGAATCCATGGGTCCCGGGTTCGATCCCCGGCTGAGACGAACATCGATGTGATGAGCATTTGGTGTTGTGCTTAGGTCTTGGGTGTTTAAATATGTATTTATATGTCTATCTATCTATAATATGTATGTATATCCGTTGCCTAGTACCCATAACACAAGCTTCACCAGCTTAGCATGGGATTAGGTCAATTGGTGTGAATTGTCTTTAAAAAAAAAATTGCAAGCATCCACTAGTAAAATAAAAATGAATGTCAAAGTATCAAAGTGAGTTGTTCCAACTTTCCTTTTTACTTTAGGGCTGCCATGCTGATATTTTTTAAATTTGCCGCGCTTTTTCAGTAATCAACTTTCATTAGCCAGACTACACTAAACAGTTTCAGAAAATATTAAATATGTTCGTGGTATTAAGTTAAAGTGACAAATTAAAGAAAACAATTCAAGACCTTGCGTCAAGGTTAACCGGTTTTAATAATTGTAGAAGCGATCTTCGATATTAATAAACATAGATGGACAAATTTTAATAGCGCACAGCGCATGTCACGTGACCCGTCATTTGTTTTTCTTTCGCTTTAAAACACTCTATTAGTAAATATACGTGGTAATATAAAAAATCGTTAAAACCTCTTTGAATATCAATCGTAGTCTGTGACTATGTTTTACCAATAGCAATTGCGCTGTGCCAATATGAATACAAAATTCCAAAAACCTCTCCAAAGGACTTCGCGGAAAAATCTCTAAACGAATCAATACAATGTATAGTATAACAAATAGATTTTTTTTTAAATAAATTTGATAAAGTAGCCAATATAGAGACATTAAAACCTTTTTCAATATCAATCGTAATCTGTGACTATGTTTTACCAATAGCGATTGCGCTGTGCTCTTCTGAATTCGAAATTTAAAAAAAAACTCTCCTTCGCAGGAAAAATCTCGGCGTATCAATACAATGTTTATAACGTAAATGAGATTTTCTCCATTTTCCGATACGTAATGTGATTACGAAATTAAAAAATTCATTGATTTTCTTTTTTGGTGATTACGTCAACAGTAATTATTTACTTTTTTACACATATTACCCACACAATGTCTATGCTTGAAAACGAAATTCATTTTCGAGGATTCCTACAAAAAATTAATGCGTTTATGTACTATTATTTTGAGAGCTTTGTCTTACGTAATACTTGAACGGCCCCAGGTAAACCTGACCGTATGGCCCTGTTCCATAAAAAAAAATTTAGCGAAGAAACTCAGACCTTTTACCCCTGACCAAGTTAAGGCCTCCAGTACTTAAAAATTCTGCTGCGAAGCTGGAACAGCTCCAAATAAAAAGGATACATAAGTTCGGCGCAACGTTCATGAATATCAGCGAATAGAAGAGATAGTGAGCGCTGTCTTCCAAGAAGAACCTGTTGAGGAACTCCTGCGAGAACCTTATCTCCGAAGGTGGAATCCGCTGGTGCAGTCTCAACGCTGACGTTGCTGCATTCGCTAACAACGCCTTGTAGAATGCTGATGTTGAGCTGTCAAATTATTAAAAGTTAGAGTAATGTTGCTATATCTTTCAGCGTGCGTCCATAACTTCGTACCCTGGCTGTGCACCAAAGGGCTATGTGCGTTAAACACACGAATGGTGAAAAGTGAAAACATCATGGTATGACATATGACACTAAGATACCATAGAACAAAGAAATTGGCGGCGTCTGTCACAGAAGATCTACCTACTTGTCTATTGTAAAAAAGGCACAGACCTAAAAAGGTTGTATCTGTGGTTTTTTTGTTAGTCAGTGCGGAAAGAGAATCAGCGTGGCGGTAATGCGAGCAAAAATTGTATACTTATATCGAGATTGCTGTCTCTACTGTTGTAACATTGATGTCAAAATTAAAAGGTAATTTTTCACTGCAGCGACTTATCCAACGACATGATTCTCTTTTCTACTTGAAGCTATTAAGCTGAATATTGTTTTTATTGTTTCCCCTTTCCGAGATATCTTTGTTTATTTTTACATTTATTTCGCTGTAAAGAGCTATCTTGATTGCATGTACAATAATGCACTGGGTAAAAAAAAACTAAATTCAATAATAAAACTAAATTCCTATTTCCTATTCACAGCCTAAACAAATCCAAATCTAGCTATTCGCTTTAATATATGAGAACTTTAGCACACCAAAATTCATAATCTGGCATCCTGAGCGATTACAATCAGTTGAAATAATTTTACTGGAAAGCTAATGGCCTACAACATCCCAAACAAGTATATAAGATTTAACTTTTGTACCTGTATTATTTAAATATTATTAGACCTTGAAGCAGCTTATGTTAAATTCAACTTTTTATTTATCAACCTAAGGTAACACAACTGAGATATAATATTGTTTTTAACCTTGTAATGTTATGAATATATGAATTATCTCACATGTATAGGTATATATTTAATGTAAACAACCGCTTAAACAAAAATAAATAATAAGTGCATTCTTTTTGTTCCTAAACTAACTTCAGAAATAAATTTTAACCATCTAATAACACCGTTTGCCTCCTGTTACATAAAAAAAAAATAAACCACTATTGCTTGTAAAATACCAGTTTGTAATTACTAAACAATACTTGTCTTTTACTAAAGAGAAATAATATTATTCTATATAAAATGAAAACAGTGATAAGGCCGCCCGTTGCATCCCTTATAATTTTTATGTATTGTGTTTCTTTTATTTGCAACGAAGTGGAAATAAATAAAACAACTTAAATTGTTCAGGTGTAAAAAAAAAATTGACAGGTATTTTTAATATGATTCAAAATACAGGAGTAATCAGGTTAATTGATAATATTCATTTTTATGAAAATAAAATACATTGTAATCTCTTTATAACAAATTTCAAGGGACCGAGCATTTTTATTCGTTATACAGAGCTTTTGTTATATAAAGGGAAGAATTAATGTATGGGTATTGGGTTAAACCAAATAAATTTAACTCATTTTTAAGTTATAGACAGATTTTTCGTGATAACAAATGATGTAATAAGGAGTTTACACTGTACTTTAAAAGTGATTAAAGGACACATAAGGCATTGTTGTACTTATTTCTATCTGTTCTAAAAGCCGTAGCTCTTAACAAACTACTCTAGAGACTGGATTATTTGTATCAAAGCTACTTACTTTGTAAATATAGGAATGACATATCCAAATGTGAACAATATGGTCAAAATACGAGTTCCCCATAGTGCCACATATATTTTATTTTCTATAACATGAGCTTTCAAAGCAGGTATTCCCTTTGGTGGGCCTGTGTCACCGGCTTGGGGGTTTGGTTCCGCCATTCTGTAAGAGAAAATTATAAATTTACAAAACCTTTATAAACACAAAAATGCAATAAAGCATTTTAAGATTTATAAACTATATTTGGTTCCAACAATACTGGTCCCTGAAGTAAACAAATACACACACAGAATATGTGTCGGACACAGAAGATCAAAGTAAAAATTATCAAAACAGAAAATGTGTCAGGTACTTCTTTCAGTGTGCTAACATATTATATTACTAGTGATTGTATAATTTAACTATTATACAATTTAAATTTTTTGTTCTATTATCAACTTTTTAATATAATTGGATGTTTATACCAACTGGGTAAAATAGTTAGTTTGTTGTTCCAAAATGTTGGCTTAATAACTACAAAACGTATTGTCAAGAACTAACACTTCTTAGCAATGAGTTAAGTATACTATGTAGTTAAATTCTAAATGTAATGCTTAATTTGAATTATACATACTTATGTAAAGAAGTTATATTAAACCAAATAAAGTATAGTATTTAAAGGAGCACTGAAGCTTATAAAAATTGATTCCAGTGCCCAAATACAACAATTTCTAAGAATCAAGCTAAAGTATTTGCTTCAAAGTAATAAAAAATTCAAGTAACATAAATAATGCAGAGATGGAGTGAAAGTACGAACAAAAACTAAAGTTACTTTCACTTATTTTTTTATTTCACAAATTAAAGTGATTTTCAAGTAACAAAGGACAGATCTTTTTCAAAGTGTTGGGCTACTTGTGAGGAAATCATGTTAGCAACCCAAAAATGTATGGTGACTTTCAGGCAGACAGCTGATTATCTTTAAAGAAGTGATCAATAGAACCAATAAAAATTTGTTCCATCTATAATTATTATTACTGTATAAATTAACATATACAATTTTTTATAAAATAATAAATTATCTAATCCCTATATAGACATACATATATGTAAAAATTCAGTACAAGAAATACACAAGGTTAAACAAGTTATAATAATGTTCAAAAGAAGTCATTGCCAAGGTCTATCACAATGCTTGAAGTGATGGTAGGAAAAATGTATTTATTCAAAAACAAACATTGGATACAACATTATTACATGATACAATATTATTTCCCCATAATATACTAGTAGCATATTCCAGCTTAACATGGCTGAACTTTTTTTTAAAGTGTGGAAATAGATATTGAATGTTATGGAATATTCTTAGGATGAATATTGAATATGGTTTAGTAACTTACTATTCATAGTCATCAGTAGTATACATAAAAATTATCTTTATAACATTAACTACATAAGCACAGATGTTCGGTGAAATTTAAGAACATTTGATCCAACAAGTAGGCCAAAGAAAGTTATGTTTTCACTTTACTCATGGTAAATTGATTTTATTATTTTGTATCCAGTTCATATAATCAAAAATTGCGACTATAGTCACGTAATTAGATATAATATGTTTGTATAGTATTTAATAATATTTAAAAAATAATATATAATTATTTCGAACATAAATGAAATATAAGCTTAGGGACAAACGAAGGTGTAATAAAAGATAATGTTATCAGTAAATTACAGGTAAATATGAAATGTCAGACTTCTTTCAATAATGTTTAAGGTTACTTATCATGTTTCATTTGGAATTAAATAAAATATCTTGAAAAATTTAAAGCGGTCACCTACGACATTTTCTTTCTTCCATAAATTTAATCAGAATAAAAGTCATAGTAATTAACAAAAAAGTAGGCCACGAAAAAATTCAGTTCAGATACAGAGGTGACTATAGTACTTAATTACATAAAGTATAATTTAATAGCCTCACGATGTAGAAAAACTCGTTTGGGGAAATTGCTTTAGAATATTATATTTATGAAAATGTATATAATGTTACAAGTTAGGTTTTGGTTATAGAAAGTAATGTTATAGCAACTTACATTCTTGTAAAATAACTTATCTACTGGATACTTCAGGGGCGATATAATTATATTTTAGTTAAGATTTAAGCACCCACAAGTCACAACGCAATCCTCAAAAGCACAATAAATACGATTAAGAATTACGAAAATGATATACGTACTCTATAGTCTATTGACTATGAATACGTGACCATGATTTGCTAAAATGACATAAATTGATGTTTGACAATCTACACTATGTCACTGAAACAGATTAAAACGATTTAAAACACAGAATACTCAGTATAGCTAACAATGAAAATACACTGTACAGGGTCAAGTCAAGTGTCAACTGTCAGAACACAAGAAAATAAAATTCAAAATATAAATAAAAATAGTAACTTAGTTTTCCTTAAATTTAATGTAAACATGTTTCGAAAGCAGAAATTACTAACGTCCAAGGGCTTAAATTTAATTACACAATACTATAAAAAATATAGCGTAGTGGCATCATTACTAACAAATCCAAATATTGGTAATGTAGCTGAAGTTAAGGTTAGTATTTTATAATGAATGAAATTTTAATTATATTAATTCTGTACATTATTTAATTATTTCTTCTTGTTATCCAGGGGTGGGTTAAGAGCTTAAGAGTCCAGAAAGATCTCGTATTCGCAGATGTGAGCGACGGATCAACAGCTAACAAATTACAGGTTTTGATTCCTAAAAACCTAAAAACCAATGATTTAACATATGGTAGCGCGGTTCATATTACAGGAAAACTTGAAAAAAGCCCTCGGGGTCAGCTTGAATTACGAGCTGATTACGTAAAAGTTTATGGAACATGTGTAGTTCTTGACGGGTATCCATTCAATCCCCGAACAGCTCATCCGCCAGAATATATTCGCAATTACTTACACTTACGCTGTCGTACCAATTACATATCAGCAATGCTCAGAATCCGTCACTCTGTTACGAAACACATACATGACTTTTTTGCATCAAGGAATTATTTAAACGTAAACACACCTATATTAACTTCCAATGATTGTGAAGGTGCTGGAGAAACTTTTAAAGTTTTACCTGATAGTGAGGAAACTATCAAAGCAATGTTGCAAGAAGGAAAAACTAATGATGATGTGTATTTTGGGAGGAAATCATTCTTAACAGTGTCTGCTCAATTGCATTTAGAGGCTATATGTAGAGGAATGGGTAATGTTTATACTTTAGGTCCGACTTTCAGAGCTGAAAACTCTAGATCACGTCTTCACTTATCAGAGTTTTATATGTTAGAAGCAGAACTTGCTTTTTGCGATGATATAGAACAACTACAGTCTATTTTAGAACATTTATTGAAACATATATTTAGTGAAATAAGGAATACAAATGAAGCTGATTTATATTTAATAGATAAGAACAATGTTGCACCTACTTGGTTGAAGGATAGATTTATTACCTTAACTTATGATGAAGCAAGAAATATCTTAAATAAAAAGGGTTTAAGTACAAATGAAGATGGAATTAATAAAGAACAAGAACTAGCATTAGTGGAGCACTGTGGTGGAGTTCCAGTGTTTGTAGTACAATGGCCTAAAAAGCTAAAATCATTTTATATGAAGGAGAGTGATTTCGATAATAGTAAGGTAACTGATAAAGCAAATTTGCCTTTTAATCTATTACTTATATATGTCACCGTAAAATTGTAAACACCGTTAGATTGTAATCTATCTCGCGAGATTGTGAACCTTTATGGCCTACTTACAATTTAACGTAAATATAACACTATATATATAACGTAAGAAATAAATGAAAACATATAAACAATAATTTCATATAACTAATTCTAAAGCTGTGAGTTACTTTCAACACGACATCAATTCATTCACCAAAAAACTGTTTGTTTACATTCGACAACAAACTAATTAACAAACAAATATGATGGCGCCTGGCATATTTCGTTCAACCAATCAGCGCGCGAGGTGCGTACTGTTTCACAATTTGACGGTTTCACTTCGATAGATTACAATCTACCGAATAATAATACGTTAAATTGTAAGCAGTTCGTTGAGGTTCACAATCTTTCGACAGTTTACAATCTCGCGAGATAGATTACAATCTTACGGTGTTTACAATTTTACGGTGACATATACATAACATCAACAAACAGGTCTACTCAGTTTTGCTATATATGTACTAGCAGCGTACAATCTATGACCACACATTTTCTTTCAGCAGACATGTTTAGACCAATATAACAATTAAATACTTTAAATTATATATATCATAATCATATGATATCTATAATGACATTTTCCTTTGAATAATTGTAATGTAGAGGGAGGGTAAAACTTGCCCTTTCTGCTCAGAACAACGCCTCCTGGTAGTTTTGCGAACGGATGGCGTAGTCTTGCTCTTTCGTGAATTTTGTAAACGTTTTTGACATTCATAAGCATGCCCTAAGACGCCTCTAAACTTAATAAACGTATTTTGATTTTTGATATTTTTACAGGTAGATGCACTAGATCTCTTAGGCCCAATTACAGGCGAAATAGCCGGTGGAAGTTTAAGAGAAGTTAATTATGAAAAACTGCAATCTAAATTACCCTCAGAAGCCTTAAATTGGTATTTGGAGCTACGGAAGTTTGGAAATATTCCAACTGGAGGGTTTGGATTAGGACTTGAGAGATTATTGCAAGTTGTATGTGGCATACCTAATATTAAAGATACTTTACCATTTCCACGGTGGCCACATAATTGTAGTATGTAATGTTAAGAAATAAATTATATTTAAATTGTTCTCACTTTTCATCTGTACCTACACTTTTCTGTTTCCGAGCGAACACTATTTTCGAAGTGTTTCATTCTAAAAATTGATGATGAAATTTTGAATAATTAGGTCAAATATTGTTTCAAATTTCATTCAAAAAAAAAAACGACGATTTTTACGAAAATTATTTTGTGCATAATGTTAGTATGCTTTTTTTTACTTTCCAAAAATAGAAAATTGTAATTCTACCAAATAATTATAAAAGTTAATGCGACAGTTTAAAAACAAAGAATCACAATAATGTATCTGTTTCACCAACTTCTTAATATATCCGAGAAAAGAGTGGTAATACATTATTACATTCTAGAATCTAGACATTCGTCAAAATGTGACGTCATAATTATTTTTAAACAGTGAAATAATCGTAAAACGCTTTTGCTCTTCAGTCTAAGACATAATTAGATAAACTATATATTATACTGCTCAAAACAATTAGCGGAACAAGATTTTTCTCCTTTCTATTGCTTAAACTAAAATTAGATTTAAATTAACTTGTACGCTATTTTTTACCTTGTTAATTTGTTAATTACCTACTACAATTAATAAAAAAATTCAATTTGTATTTTTTTTATTTAAAAAAAATTAAAATGTGCATTGTAGGCGAAAAACAAAGTGACGTCTTTGAATTTTCATTACTTTCTAATCACAGAAAACACATTTTAAGTAGTTTTTTTCAATCTTTTGAGTATTAATAGAAATTGAAGTGAGCCTTTTGAGTATTGGTATTCATTGAAGCGAGTGAGTTTAGGTCATAAATTCTCGCCGTGCGACGACGGTAGACGGACGTATTTTTTGTTTGACTAAGTAGTCAGTTGTTTTAATTTGGGTGCAAAAATGGAATGCAAGAACTGTAAAAACAGAATTAATAATTCTTTGTACTTGAAGTGTTCTAAGTTTAAATGCGGTAATATGTATCATATACAGTGTTTAAATATAAGCAAAGAAAAATTGGTGATGATGAATCAGCACGAGAAAGATTGGTGGAGGTGTCCAGAATGTTTGTGTTACGCTTCCAAGGTGGATAAAATTAATCGTAAAGGGTCTCAAATTACTATAACACCGAAAAGCGTAAGTCCTCAAAAAAATGATGTTCTTGTTGAGAATTATTTCAGTTACTTGCTTAAAGAAATGAAGGATTTTAGGCAAGACATGCTGAACCGCTTTGAAGAGCAGAAAAAGACTATAATGAGCTACAAAATAGATTCATTAATGCTGAATTGGAATTGAAAGAATTACGGGAAATAATGAGGGTAGTCGAAAAAAAAACAAAATGCGATCTACTTGGCGAGGAAATAATAAATAAGCCGACCGGTTTGAATACAACGACACCTGTGCAATCTTTTGTGGATGTCCTAAAACATAATAGCCAAATTACCGATGCGTCCATGAAGGAATGTGAGGCCACGACGTCGGCGTCAATACAAATTGAAGACCAAAACGGATTGCCAACGATTAAAGAGCAAGTAAAGGAGAAATTGCGAAAAAAGTGTAATATGTTGGAAACCAAGGCAAAGTTGAATGGCGATGACAGTCCCCGGAGCAAATACCCTCGAAAAGAGGTAAAAAGGGTGATTGCAGAAACGCTATACAGATTGAAGGGACCGAGCGGAAGAAGTTTTTACACGTATGGCGCTTAAAAAGGAAACGTCGGTGGAATGTTTGGAAAGCGATGTGAAAAAAATATATTGTTACGAAGACGGGTCGACTACAATGTTTTTAGATTTTTCCACTACTTAGAGAACTTTTCAGCAGGCTGAAATGTGATTTCTGACCGTTTCAGGGGAGGGTCAATCACATATTAGAAAATCGTAATTTACATAATGTTACCCTAGTTTTCAGGAGCCTGAAACATTTTTTCAGGCCGTTTCAGAGCACGTGTAGTCGAATGGAACACTTTTCAGGAAACCCGTTTTCAGGCGTTTTCAGGCCTGGTTATACCCCTTTGATGAAGGAATGTTCTAGAACGAATTTTCTAGGTGTGGGACAAGGACGGAATGATACGCGAGAGAGAGGGAAGATCGGAACCTTCTCGAAGCTAGACCGAGCACTCTAGAACGCCGTACGACAAGGACGGAGCAATGTGCGAAAGAGATAGCTAGTACGCACGTTCTAGAATTGTGCGATCGCTACTCAGTTGCGCTGCCGCCTAGAGAGTTCTCGAACATCGCTCCCAGGGATATATAAGCGAGCCGAAACGCGATCGATTAGTTCAGTTTTGAATGCGATACCAAGCGATAAACACCGGAGTGACAAAGTGCGAATATAGCGAAGAAAAGTGAATACAAGTACTGTGTGAAGTGCGTGTTATTAGATAAATTAGTGTCAGTATTTTATGTGTGTATTTAGTGAATTTTTGTGCGTAATTGTCGTTTTTTTAGTGTTAACAAATTCCTCGTTAATTTAATTAGAAAATAAACCCTTGAAGAAATCTACGGCGTTTCTATCCGATCCCCTAGCTCGTAACATTTTGGTGTCAGAAGTGGGATAGAAAAATGCCAATTACTCCAAGGGAGAATCAAGAGGAGTTTGTGGCGGACCCTCCAGCAGCGGAGGGAGTGCAGACGAGAGCACAATCAGCACGGGACGCCGCCCGACGACAAAGTTTCGATGCGAACCGTGGGATGGGTGAAAGCAACGATGGAAACATCCTCCTTGCTCTGCGCCAAATGATGGAAGAACAGGCTCAGACACGGCGCATGATGGAGGAACAGGCACGTCGTCAAGAGGAACAGTCTCGCCAAATGATGGATGAACAGGCACGTCGTCAAGAAGAACAGGCCCGTCATCAGGAGGAACAGGTTCGGCGATTGATGGAGGAACAGGCACGCCAAATGGTGGAAGAACAGGCTCAGACACGTCGTATGATGGAGGAACAGGCTCGCCGTATAGGAGAAAAATTAGGAGACCTGAAACAAGAAGTAGATAAAAAAATCGAAAATTTGGAATCTGACGTGGACTGCAAATTTTCGAAACAGGACAAACGTATTCTCGGATTAGAACAAGAGATGCAGTGCCTGAAGACCAAAGGTGTCGTAACGACTGTAGCACCATCTGGAAATCTGAAAGTACCTCCCTTTGACGGTACAACTTCCTGGGGCGCGTACAAAATACAGTTTGAGACTATGGCAGAGTCAAACGGGTGGAATGACGATCAGGCTGTCACCGCCCTTATTATGGGACTGCGAGATGAAGCCCTCACCATATTAGAAACCAAGACAGGTAAAGTGACGTTGAAGCAACTGCTGGATGCCCTGGAATCACGGTACGGAGACGCACATTTAGAACACGTCTATAGGGCTCAATTAAAGGATAGAATACAGCAGACAAATGAAAGTTTGCAAAAATGGGGAGTTGAAATAGAGAAGCTGGTTAGGAAAGCCTACGCATCCTCACCAGACGTTGCAGACAAGATGTTGGTTCAAGCCTTCGTCGACGGTATTCGAGACCGTGAAATTCGAATGGCTGTGAACCTAGGTCACCATAAGGACCTTAAGAATGCTCTTGCTCATGCGTTGGAAGTGGAAGCATTTTGCAAGGATTCTCGACCTAACCGCATTAGGGCTGTCTCGGAAAAACGTAGTTCCCAACGTGGACCGACCTGTTACCTCTGCGGGGAAGTAGGGCATATGAGGTTTTCGTGCCCTAAGAGAGATCCCCGAGGCGAAATGAAGACAAGACGTGGGGAGCCCGATGACGTGGATGTGACTGCCGCTGAACAGCGGCAGGGAAACGAATAGAAGCCAGGACCACGGGGCGGGTGCTGGCCGGTTCTGTAAGGAAGGCCCCAAAAGTTATGATCTCTCAAACTCAGGATGGGAATACCATTGTCATCGACGGAGAAGTTAACGGCACTAGGTGTGAGTTAACCCTTGATACTGGAGCTTCCCGGACAGTTATCAGATACCAACTTCTGAAGTCATTTTATAAGAGCCTTTCTGGTGGGAATGTACAGCTCCTTACAGCTACTGGTCAGCACATAACCGTTCGAGGAGAAGGTATCGCTACCTTCAAGATTGGTGGAAGAACATACAGACATAAGGTGGTTATTGCTGACATCGTGGATGACTGTATTATCGGTTTAGACTTCATGAAGCATTACAACTGTAAGATTGACCTGAAGAACGGCACATTCAAGTGTAGAGATGAAGTAGTTTCCCTAAAAGATAACACATTGAAGAACGGGTACGACGTGTATAGAGCTATCATTGAAGATGGTACAGTTAGTAAACAACGAGATATAGTTCAAGCAATACTGGAGGACTGTAAGGAAACCTTGGCGAGGGAAGAAATGTCGAAAGCAAAGGGACTATTAAAAACATTTTCTGACATGTTTGCTACACACGATGGAGATCTAGGAAGGACAGGTGTAGTTAAACATCGTATTGAGACTGGAACCGAAGCACCTATACGTTTAAGACCGCGACGAGTACCTGTCGCATATGAAAAGAATATAGACAAGATGATTGCAGAAATGTCAAACCATAATGTTATTGAAGCATCTTCCAGCCCTTGGTGCTCTCCAGTAGTTTTAGTCAAGAAAAAGGATAACAGTTTAAGGTTCTGCGTCGACTACCGTCGTCTTAACGATATCACGAAGAAGGACAGTTATCCGTTACCTAGAATAGATGACACCTTGGATACCTTAAGTGGGGCAAAATGGTTTACAACTTTAGACTTGAAAAGTGGGTACTGGCAAGTGGAAATAGACCCAAGTCATAAAGAGAAAACAGCGTTCTCAACTGGTAAGGGACTATGGCAGTTTAAAGTTATGCCGTTTGGGCTTTGCAATGCACCTGCCACCTTTGAAAGACTAATGGAAAAAGTACTGTCAGGACTGATAGGAGAAGCCTGCTTAGTGTACTTGGATGATGTAGTCATCATTGGGAAGGATTTTGATGATCACATACGAAATCTGCAACGGGTGCTCTCCAGACTGCATA